GCATTGCCTTCCAAGGTGAGATTAGAATCTGCCTCTGTGGGCAGCAGGCTCAGCCGAAGTTCTGCCAGAAAGTGGGATGTGGGTTTCATGGTTTTTGAGTGTTCCAGGGAACTGGCTGGCTCACCTGACCCTCCCCTGACCCCTTGGAAAGAATCTAGTAACTAGATTTTCGTTCCTGTCATCTACGAAAGGGGCTTCTAGAGACTCTAGAGGCAAGACAGGTGCTCTTCTCCAAAGATGGGCAAGTACATCAGAGAGGGTGGTCCATCTGGACAAGATCACACAGTAAATGGAAGCAGTAAGATTTGAGTTGTTTTGACTTCTGGCGCCACCCACTTCCCCTGGCTACACGTCCAGCAGACCCTCCAGCATAAACTCCTTTTCCTGGAGTAGTGTCGGGAAATAGGAGCTTGTACCTCCTCTAAGACCTCCACCTGGCAGAGGATAGGAACTGAGACCTTGGTAACCCAGAACTCATGTCCACCTGCCAGTGGGTAATTCCCAGCCCTACTCTCTACCCAGTTGTGCTGCCTGGGGATAATCTGGGGCCCATGTTCAAACAAGTTTGTGCTTGGCTGAGCTGCCATCAAATGGGAAGGGGGGAAGATGGCCAGAGTAGTCTGGTCAGAAATAGAAAAGTACATTAATCCACTAGAGGTTCTGAAAAGGAGTGGAGGAGAGAAGTGAATTGTCCCTGGGATTCAAGAAGCATCAAGGCCTGTATCCAGGGCTGCTGCCATACCCCAGCAGGTTAGGGGGCTGAACTCTCCCTAACCCTTGCAGCTTTTGAAGGGTCTTCCAGGGCTTCATTTGGGCCCAGCCCCACTCTTCTCAGTCTTCCTTCCCTGCCAGTTCCTGGCTGGCCCCCAGCCCCTCCCTGCATCTCATCTTCCTGGCTTAATTATTTTTCCTGGGAGCCGTGTAATCCTTGTTTTATGGGGCTGAGGAGTGAAGAGGTCTAACAGCTTTTTTTAAGGGTTCTGGTTGTTGTTCTTAGCCAGTTGCATCACTCTCTTACTCCTGAGTTTACATTTGGTTTCAGAGAGGAAGCATCTCACCAGATGAGATGAGGCAGTCCCCATGGGGTGATCTGGGCAGGGCCTTTATCTAGGAGGCAGAGTTGTAGTCTGGGCCCTGTCACTGCCTCCTTCTGTGAGCTAGAGCTAGGCCCTTTCTTCTCTGGACTTTAGCGTCCCAGTCTGTAAAATGGTCATGTTTAAGCCAGTTGGCACATAGATTCTTTCCGATTGTGACAGTTCCCCTCTGATCCGCCTAAGGAATTAGTTCAAAGGTCCCCTGCCCCCTTCATCTCTCACTCTCCATTTGACAGTTGTTTTTCTGGACAAGGGACAGAGTGGACCCTGGGTGGGCAGTACTCATGCCCAAGGCAGCTGATGTGGGCGTCCTATAGCCCTATGAGTCAGGCATGTGGGACTGGGGAAGTGTCCAACTGCTGGACATAATTGTTAGTGCTGACCATCCCTCTTTCAAACAGGAAGTGACTGGGGTGGGGGCTTCCCTGGCATCCCAAAGTCACAGATTTATGAGGCCATAAAATGCCCAGTGCCCATTAATTCTACCCAAGGGGCAACATAGCCCTGACTTCTAGTGGAGGCTGTCATGAGACTCAAAGGTAAATCTGTAGTTGGCTGACCTGGTGGCTGAAGAATTCTCCCTAGTGGGCAGCACCTGTGGCTCAAGGAGTGGAGTGCTGACCCCATATACTAGAGATGGTGGGTTCAAACCCAGCCCCGGCCAAAACACACACACACACACACACACAAAAGAATTCTCCCTAGTGACCCTGGGAGCCTTGGAGGTCATCTCAATCAGCCCACTGCCCCAGACCAGCTGCCCCCAAGAAAGGCTGCAGTAGCTCCTGCCAGCAACTTGGAGTGACGCTGGCATCAGGGCCCAGTTCTGCTGGGCGTGATTCAGCTTGGCTGCTCCCTGGGGCAAGTGAGCCGGGGAGGAGGGAGTGGCCGCCCCTCATTAAGCAGGAACTTGGGGCTGAAAGGGAGAGGGGCCAGGGAATGAGGGCAAAGGAGCCCCACCAGCCCGAGCGGGTGGCCTCCCAACAGTCAGCCCACGCTGGGCTTAGGGCTGCCCCAGAGCCTGGAACAGAGCTAGAGGTGGGCGGGCAGGGGGCCCCACTGGCACCCCCACCACTGCCTCTCACCCAACTGAGTCAGACTAATGGTTTTTACAACCCTCCCTGGGCACAATTACTGCACTGGTGGCATGACCGGGCCTCCTAATGGGTGTTTATTCTGTTGGCACGAGCACCCCCTGCCTGAAGGCTGGCCTACTCACCAGGACACGCCCCCCAGGGCACACTCATGTGAACACTCACACCCACACTCTCATACAATCATGGAGACCCACATGGGTACCCAGAGAGACTTTCTCACACATTGCCTTCCTCACACTCAGGAACTCACAGATCCACTCCCAGGAGACAGTGCACCCACCAGAAGGAACATTAGGGACATAGGCACATGCTCATATGCACTGCCCCCTGCACAGCACAACCCAAATGGACACACAAACCTGTGCACACCATGCCCACCTACCCATTGCCAGCCTTACCCATCTCTCTTTACTCCTAAGTTTGTCCCAGAGGGGATGAGGCAGACCCAGGAGAGGAACATTCCATAGCCTCCCCCTGACTCCCTCTCTGGAGCTGGCACGGGAGACCTCGGAGCAGTGAGTTCCCTTTCCACTGAGAGGTCAAAATCCAGGCCTAAAGACCCACTGGGGAGTGGTCCAATTTCAGATGGGGCTGGGGCCAGAAGGCCTCTGCAGCACCCAGCAGCCCTCCCTTTCTGAATGCCTTGGCCAGGATCAGGGGTAGGAAGAAGACAGATTTTAGATGAATATAACTTGACCACAAGTCTAAAATCCCTGCTCATCCCTCCCCCCCCACCAAAAAGTACCAGGCATGGGCCCAACAAGGGCAAAAGAGTGTTCTAGAGCCCAGGCCCAGAGCCAACCCTGGTTGCCTGGCCTCAGCCTGAATTCTTGCCTTGCTCTGCTCTGGCAGACGGCACCTGATGGCTGGAAGAATTCCGTCCGCCACAACCTATCCCTCAACAAATGCTTCGAAAAGGTAGAGAACAAATCGGGAAGCTCCTCTCGGAAGGGCTGCCTGTGGGCCCTCAATCCAGCCAAGATTGACAAGATGCAGGAGGAGCTGCAGAAGTGGAAGAGGAAAGATCCCATTGCTGTGCGCAAAAGTATGGCCAAGCCAGGTGAGACGGGGCCACACGAGAGAGGGCCTGGGGCACCCATGAGCCAAAAGGAGAGGAAGAATTGGTGAGAGGAAAGCAAGGGTTCTGAGGCTGGGGCGGCTGTGGAGGAGAGAGGTCTCACGGTGTTTCTTCTCCCTTGGGTCTTTCAGAAGAGCTGGACAGCCTCATTGGAGACAAGAGGGAGAAGCTGGGCTCCCCACTGCTGGGCTGTCCACCCCCTGGGCTGGCAGGCTCAGGCCCCATCCGGCCCCTGGCACCCCCAACCGGGCTATCCCAGCCACTGCATTCACTCCATCCCGCTCCAGGGCCCATCCCTGGCAAGAACCCCCTGCAGGACCTATTGGAGGGTCATGTACCCTCCTGCTATGGGCAGACATATCCACACCTCTCACCAGGCCTGGCCCCTCCTGGACCCCCGCAGCCATTGTTCCCACAGCCAGATGGGCACCTTGAGCTGCGGGCCCAGCCAAGCACCCCCCAGGACTCGCCTCTGCCTGCCCACACCCCACCCAGCCACAGTGCTAAGCTGCTGGCTGAGCCTTCCCCAGCAAGGACCATGCATGACACCCTACTGCCAGATGGAGACCTTGGAACTGACCTGGATGCTATCAACCCCTCCCTCACCGACTTTGACTTTCAGGGTGAGCTGGGGATAGGAAAGGGGAGGTGGGACAGGATTGGAGAGGTGTACCTGGCAGTGTGGCCCATCCTCTCTGAGTCTCTAGGCTGCGGCCTGCAAGCTGTTGGGATTTGGGTCAACTGAAACCAGGCAAAGAGAAATGTCTTTGCCCATATCCTTCTTCTTGGTGCCCCGAACATGTTCCAGCTGATCCCATCATCAAAATGCTCTTAGCTCTGGACAGACCAGAAAGGACTCGGTGTTCTAGTCTATATTTGACTGTAAGTGATCAACAGTTCTGAACATTCCCAGAAGCATCAGAGTTCATCTTTTAAAGCAGAAGGAAAGAGACCCTCTGCTCTAGAGGAAGGTTAGAGAAATGTTAGGCCTCAGAGCTGGGCAAGTCCTAGAGAGATTTGGAGATAGAAGTCCAGGGAGAGATTCTATCCATTCCACATCATCTTGCCTACTCCGTATCTGCATGTGGCCATCTAAATTCCAGTGCACGCCCAAACACTGGTACTGACCACTGGAGGTTTGTGGGGGGATGGCCCAGGCCTCTGACCCTTTGCATGCACAAGCAGATAGAGGCAGCCTGCCCTCAGAGAGTGCCCAATCTGATGAGGGGACAGCCCAGGTCTTAGGAAGCTTAGTAGAAAAGCACACAGTTTTAGATTGATCTGCAGACACGTGGGACATAGTAAACATTTACTTGAGCCCCTACTAAGTTTTAGGCATCATGCTAGTTGTGTCACACATGGTTCTCATCTGGTCCTAGAAGATAGGAGAGATTATTATGATTAAACCCACCTGACAAAAGCACACAGTGGCTTAGTAACATACTCATGGTCACTTAGCTAGAAAGAGGGAGAGTTAGTATTGAAACTCAGGCAGTTAAATCCAATCCAGGGTTTAGCCATGCCTTCTTCCTCCAGACCTTGTCTCTGACTGACACCCAGGGTGGGAACTCCAGGCTACATGGTACAGAGAGGGACCAGGTGGCAGTACTGTTTGCTCCCCAGAGTCAGGTGTGCTTCCGGGCTCTGCTCCCATCCTCAGGCCCTGCTGCGAAGGAGGCCCAGGGAGCCATGCCCATCCTCCTCACCAGGTCCAGCAGTGTATTGTGGGCAGATTCTCGCTCTAGGTGGCAGATCCACCTTCCTGGGGAGACTGAGCAAGAGCTAGGGTGAAGAGTTCCTGGGGGACCCCCTAGGGTAGCCCCCGGTGCACAGCACTTGCATCAAATCTTCCGTTAGGCAGTTCTCAAATCCCCAGTGCCCCCTGCCAAAAGAGCCACAGATGTCATCTGGATCCATGGTTTTCAGACTGTGCCACGTGGGAGGAAGAAACAGGCTCAGAGAGATTCACAACTGCCTGGGTTTGCACAGCTAGTGCTGGTGTTTGTTCCCGCTCCATGTCACCCGTCTCCTGCTCTCTGCAACATGTGAGGGTCCCTGGAAGGAGGGCAGAGAGGGCTCCGGTGCTGCCTCCAGTGATACCTGTTCTCTCCTTCCCTTCCCAACTAGGAAACCTGTGGGAACAACTGAAGGATGACAGCTTGGCCCTCGACCCCCTGGTACTGGTGACCTCATCCCCGACGACATCATCATCTTCAATGCCGCCACCCCCACCAGCCCCCCACTGCTTCCCCCCTGGGCCCTGTCTGGCAGAGACAGGCAGTGGGGCAGGCGACTTGGCACCCCCAGGCAATGGGGGCTCCGGGGCACTGGGTGACTTGCACCTCACCACCCTCTACTCGGACTTCATGGAGCTGGAGCCCACGCCCTCCACAGCCCCAGCCGGCCCTTCAGTGTACCTCAGCCCCAGCTCCAAGCCCATGGCCTTGGCATGATCTATGTCCAGGATCAGCTCGAGCCTTTGCCTAGCCTGGATGTCCCAGCTGGTCGCCCACATCGGGCTCACCTTAAAGATCAAGGAAGGAAAACACTACCTTGTCCCCTGTGCCCCTTGTTTGTTAGCTGGCAGCTGGAGGTACAGAGGACTCCACCTGGGCTGCTGCCCCTCTTACATTTCTGCCACCTGGTGGTCTAGCTCCTCACTCAGGGCCCCAGAAAAGCAAATGTGTGGGCAAGAATAAAACACACTCTAGTTCACTCCCATCCACACTTAAACCCCTGTACTTACACACACACAGAGACACACACACACACACCCCTCCCCACCACATAAACCTTATCCCCAGAGGAATCAGTACTACAACACGGACAGCCTGACTTCATTTCTGGGACAGCTGAGAGCTGAGAGCTTTGCTTACCAAAAGCTCAGAGCCCGGTGCCAGGCCGAAGACCATCCCCTGAAGCCCCTTAGACATCCACATTCTCTGCAGGCCCCACTCCCTGCAGTCATGTTCTTTCCAAGAAGCCCCCTGTATTTATTCTCCCATCTTTACCCCAATAGTCCAGCAAAGAGGAGGAAAGAGAGCTCCTCCCCAAATTGTCTGTGGCCCCCTCTAGGGGGTTGCTACTTAGCAGCTCTTACTCTGCCAGGCTCTACCTATCCTTACAGTACATGCTCTGTCTGGCCACCCCCAGGGTGACATGCAAGAGGGGCAGATTCACCCTGGGACCAAACTGAGCCCAATTCCGACAGTGTTCGGAAAAGCCCTTGCCCTTGGAAACTTGAATGTGCCTACTTCTTCCAGTTCCAGCTGCAGGAAGGGCCCCCTCTGGGTCACCACAGTCTCACTCCTTCTCTAGAAAGAAAAGTTCATGCAGTTTAGGTCCCAGCTTACTCTAGACTGTCCCTGGCTTACGATGGTTCAACTTAACGTTTTTCCGACTTTACAATGGTGTGAAAGTAATACGCATTCAGTACATTCCTCAGACTTAACATGGGGTTATGTTTGATAAACCTATCGTAAATTGAAAATACCATAAGTAAAAAGCATACTTTCTACTTACGATATTTCCAACTTACAGTGGATTTATCTAGATGCAACCCCATTGTAAGTTGAGGAACATCCATGGTTACTTCCAACTGTCTCAGGCAGCCTGGGCATTCTGGGAGGGGTCGCCAGGCATGGGAGCACACATGCCCCCCTCTCTTCCGCTGGTTGGCAGAACCAAGATACCCGGGAAGCACTAGGGATGCCCCTGGAGCTGAGGGGTGTGGTTCAGGTACCCACCATGAGCCCCGTCACCACCCAAGGGAACCTCAGCCCATACCAGGCCTGGGGATGACAAGAACTTCCAGAGGTTGGCTCCAGGCCCACATGAGGCCCAAGCAGATCCCTCAATGGCCTGCCAGTGTCCCCTGTGCTGGAACAATAAAGCAAGTGCCTTGTGGTCTCACCACTGAGTCTTCATTTCTGGACCTCTCCTCCCTGGGCAGAAAGGCCAGGCCACACTGATGGTAGATGATATGGGCCTATGATGTCATTTCCACCCCCACCTGGAACTGTGAAGTTTCCAAATCCAAAGAGTAAGGCACACAGGAGGACTTCCTGACCAGGCTGGGGATGATGAGGGGCAGGTAGTAAGGCATCTTCCCAGGAGAATTTCCAAGCAGGTGTAAGGGAGAGGCTGTTCTGCCCACAGGAAAGGGGTGGGTGCCTTCTTCCCTTTTTGCATCCTCTGATCTCCTCACACCAGAAGGGGTCACTGTCCTATCTAGGCTGTGTCTTCCTGCCCCTCATATGGCTCTGGCTGGGAGAGATGCCAAGCATTTTGGGACCCTGGAATCCACAGGTGACAAGAATGGAGCACAGCCTGTGCCATGTGCAGTGCTGGCCCCACCAGGGTGTCTCTGATAGGTTGGGGATCACTTGATCTAACTTTAGACTCAGCCCCCAGGTACCACCTCCAGGTGAGCTGCTGTCCCAAAATGGCAGCCTGAGAGGCAGACCTGCATCCCTGCAGTCCTGCAACCCCTCAGCCCCACAGCCCCCACAGTTCCCACAGCCCCACAGCCCCCACAGTCCCCTCAGCCCCATAGCCCCCACCGTCCCCACAGCCCCACAGCTTCCATAGGCCCCGCAGCCTCACAGCCCCACCTAGAGGGGTAGAGCAGAGGTGGGAGCCAAAAGCAGGTACAGAAACCTCAGGTCCCAGAACAGCCGCAGGTAGGACCTCTGCTTAGAAAGTTCTTCTGGCTCGGTGCCTGTAACACAGTGGTTATGGTGCCAGCCACATACACTGAGGCTAGTGGGTTCAAACCCAGCCTGGGCCAGCTAAACAACGACAACTGCAACAAAAAATAGCCCAGCATTTTGGCCGGTGCCTGTAGTCCCAGCTACTTGGGAGGCTGAGGCAAGAGAATCGCTTAAGCCCAGGAATTAGAGATTGCTGTGAGCTGTGACATCACAGGACTCTACAGAGGGTGACATAGTGAGACTCTGTCTTTAAAAAAAAAAAAAGAAACTTTGTCTAGGTGAGCTCACAAGTTTGAGACCAGCCTGAGCAAAAGTGAGACCTTGTCTCTAAAAACTAGCCAGTCATTGTGACAGGTGCCTGTAGTCCCCAATACTTGGGAGGCTGAGGCAAGAGAATTGCTTGAGCCCAAGAGTTTGAGGTTGCTGTGAGCTAAGATGCTATGGTACTCTACCAAGGGTG